GCTACATACACCCATACACACACACACATACATTATATCAATTTTTTCTAAGATATGCCAAAATGTTCAGAAACCTCTGAAACGTAAAGATATGCAAAAAAAACATTTTCGATTTTTATTCGACTAGTAGAACTATAAAAAAAGACCCGGATCTTGACGGCACAAAACTGTACGCACAGTTCAATGTAAGCGCCACAATTTGCTGGTTAATTTTTCTTTTTTTCAAAATTTTATGTTTTATTCTTATAAAATTATATTTACCTAAATTTGTTTTATTTCAGGATCTACGTGCAGATGAAGGGTCTAAATAGGCTCTAAACATGCGCATTCAAGTACGGACTGTACGAATCTTATATGTAAGTTTTGTATTTTACTGAAATGAAATAACTCTTGCATGAAATAATTTAATACGAAAATGCACTTGTATATAATTGTTATACAATTACTTATTTTTAGTGTAAAGGATAATTTTCCAGGTCCGTACTATCCTGCACGGTACTTGCATAAATGTTTTTGAGTGAAAATTAAGCTTGTTGTAATCGGTCCAGCCGTTTTTGGAAAACCGTCGACAAAAGATCAAAATTTAGCTCGCAGATCAACACAAACACATACATTATCTAAATTTGGTTCGATTCAGGATGACTTGAAACGTCGAGAAAATATAAAGCTAGTGAATTTTGTGAAAACATTTCCTTCGCGAAATTTATAACTCTATACAAATATTCTTCGAATAATACTAAAACAATAAGCAAGGGCGGGGCACACATTTCCAACTTGACATTGGGCAATTATATTGTGAAAACCAAATCAATTGTATTACAACAAATAACACAAATGCAACAAACAACTACCTGACTATGTTCAGTAAAACTCTCAGCAAAATCTTCATTGTAGAAATGTTTTTTTGCTGTTTTTTCAAAATTTTGCACCTTGTACTTTACACATAATCGGGTTAAAATGGGACAGCCAGAGTTTAAACATGTTTTAATTTTAAAGAGATTTTAAGAAATAATAGCTGCATTATTCAACCAGTACATTATATGAATTCCATGGGTACATCTTTTTCAGAGATAACACCGTATATAACCTTGATCTGGTTTTTCTTCAGAAATAATCATCAGCAGAGTTGGAACTTATTAAATTGGAATTTATTTAACTTATTTCCTTGCCAACTTATATAAAAAAAACTGTTGTATCTAACTTAAAAATAACAATATATCTTAGAAATGAATGTATTTTAATTCTAATTACATAAAGTTCTTTAAACACAATTACATGATGAGTGAAATGCGAAAACAATATTTGTTTAGACGTTGTTTAATATAATCCACTGTGTGAACGAATATTATAGAATTTATAAATCAGCAAATACTTCATTTCTTTAATGAAGGTTCGTTTCTAAATGCTAATTACATTGAAAAACCGATCATGTCATATTTGAAGTATGGCTTTAATTACATAATGTAATATGTATAATATTTAGAAACAATAATGTAAATTACAGTATTGTTTCTAAATATTATACATATTTTTAATGCCATTATAATTATATGATTTATAATTTATTATTATTATGAATGTGTATAATGGTTGGCACTAATAAATGCGTGCATCACGAGTGTTACCATATTACTAATAAACGTTATTCAAAATTGTTATATGATGTATTTATTTTTGCTTAAATGCCATCTTGTACAGTAGCAAATAAGTTTTACTTCAATCGCACATGAACCTTACGCGCACTCTTTTTTTTCTATTCCATGAATTTATTATTGCAATTTTTGTAATGTTGACGACTTTATTTATTGGATGCAAAAATACCGGCAAGGGTTATTTTACCTTTTAAGCATATCGAAAGTGCATTTGTGTATATTCTTTATACCCATCACATATTTTCAGGGTGAATGATAATTTTCCAAGTAGCATCCCGAGCTCATCTAGAGTGATTGTGAGTGAGTACCATCTCCTTGTCGTAATACATAACTTATTCCGTGTATTAACCAATATTTGCCGCCCCTTTTCTTATATAACCTTAAACCGCAGAGGTCTCCGGGCACCCCGCCTGCTATTTCAAGGGTTGCCCGATGCGAATCCGTGTGCGCCCAACCGTCGTAATCTGTACTTGTGTCGGTGTGCGAGTATTTTTGGGGGTTTATATTACTGCGTAGTATCCTTAAAGGTCCTGTGAAGGACGCACGTGCCTCAAACGATTCGGGAATGTCCTCTTGGTATTGGTGTCGGGTTGATATAGATGTGTGTTCTGTCATTCCATTCATATCGGACCAAATCACACACATACCCGGATACAACTAGAAATTTTCACATTGGCGTAGGGACAGATTTTTCTTTGTACCGAAAACTTGAAATTTTAACCAGTGCATTTATTTATAGATTTATATTTAGGAATTGTTTTATTACTTTTATTAAAAATATATTGTTTATATCAACTTCTCGTAGGGTTTTTATTTATTTATTATTCATAAGCAGCCGCAATCAACAATAATAGATACTATTTCGGGCTCTTGTCAAGCTTATTCATCATTAATATTAAAATGATAGTAATTTTATAATGATCATAGTAGATGCACAAATTTTGCTTCCAAAAAAAGAACTGAAAAAAAGCATTCGAACGTTAAATACAATGTTCATCATCAAGTTCATTATATTAAAGTCTATTAGACCACCAGTCAAACTCAAAATTCTTGCACATGGTTGAAAGTTATACTCATTTAAAACCGTAAGAATTTAAATTAATAAAATAGCAATAATAAACATGGTTGTACAGACGATCATGGTTGTACATAGATAAAGGATAAGGATTAGGCAAGAAAATAGTTATTGAAATCAAATTGAGAAAATTCAGTAATGTCATAAAAAGCTAATTCTTCAAAAAGTTTAACTAGGGAAGCATGAATTTTTTTCTTGTCTAAGTTTCGGATATTGAGTGGAAGTTTATTCATAAGCTGAATACCTAAACCGTCGATAAGGGTAAGAGGTAAGCTATAGGAATCGCAAATAAATCCAATATGAAATTTTGTATATGTCTTTATGTTTCAAAGCCTTCTGAACATTATGAGATACCTTATAAAAAATAGATGTATGTGTATGTTTTTTCTGTATAGCAAAGAAAAATTGTTTACCCATTCCAGACTGAGTCTTTTGTCTGAGTATATCGGACTCAATACCACTTGGGTATAATACTGACTAAAACCTGCGCTTTTCTCTTGCCTCTGGTTCCTACGGAAACCGCTGGTTACAGGGGCAGGATCTAAAATGTTATAAGTCTTTCTCTAAATTATACTTTTCTTATAATTACTGCATTTGCTTTTCTTTTTTCCGAAGATTGCAAGTCTATTAACACTGAGTGTATGTGTGTGTGTGCAGACATAAATTTTTATCGACGGTTTCGGGAATGAGGATCAACCGATTTGAATATTTCAAAGAACATTCGATTCATACTCATGGTGATTAGCTTTTGACAACGGCGGGTCCAGCCGTTTCGAAGATACGGTGTTAAAAGTTCTAAAAATGGTAATTTAGTTTTTGAGAAAACGGAGTGCCCAATATAAATGATTCATAAAATATTTTATTTGTATTGACGAAACACCGAACTAAATTTTTCAGTTTGATCCAGATAATTCGTAGATCCAATGAAAAAAGTAAAAAAAAAACATTTGGCAGTTTAATATGACGAGTAGGCATATGCACATCAATTTATCTGTTATTTTATTAATAAGTACAAATTTTGTATATAATTTCTATGAGTTTTGTACCAATGTGTATTTGTCTCTAAAACAACTATTTAGCGCGATTGTTTTGAAAAAAAGTTCAACATTTTCAAAAAGTTTCAAGAATACCTTCTTAGAAAAAAATCAGATTAAGTCAAATATTTCTAATTCATCAATATTATTATTGGTGCTTTTGTGCTCGAAGGCTTCACTTCTTAACAGAGATTTTTTTTAATATTTAATTTTTAAATATTTTTTCCATTTCGTAGATATAGTCTTGAAATTGAAAATATTCTGAGATAAACACTTACCTTTAATTAGATTAAATGTTTACCTATTTAATTTTTTTAAAGTCATCGGCAATACATGATTGTGTGCTTCATATATGTATTTTATTCTTTTTTTCCATTCCATTTTTATGATTTTAATTGTGCAAACTAAATGTCTTTTATTGTTTAAAACAAAGTATTAATTTTTTTTATTTATCATAATTATAATTATTTATAATAATTTATTTTGCGGATTTTTATATATTTATACATCTTTGTATAATTTAAAATTTTCACTTTACTTTTTATCTTTGAAGTATTGAAATCAAAAACTTAAATAATTACTTTCTGAATATTGAATTATATATAAAGTACGTGAATCGTCATTTGATGGAGTAATTTGAAAAATTTTGTAATAAAAATTATGTACTTATTAACATAAATGAGCATTAAAATATGACATTGGTAGTTATGACCAAACTATTAATAATTTAGTGATTTCCGTATTTATTGTTTGACAACTGCACATGCACATGCATCATTTTAAAGTAAATATATATATATATATATATATATATATATGTATATATACACGGTGTCCCAGACCTTGACGTCAAGCCGAAACGGGCTGATAGTATCGACCTTAACTATCCTGAAATATTTAGAAAAAAAAATTATCCTACATTGTTTGGAAATTATGAGCTCTTAAGTGCAAAATATGTCGACTATCCATATCTCATCATTTTAAAGTGAAATCCACCAAGCTTTTGTGAGACAAAAGGATTTTTACTCAAAATTTTTCAGTAATAAAATTATCAAATATATTACAATTTTATAATCCATATTGAATGCTCTGATTAATTTATTTTTATTACATGATAATGGACAAACTAAATCTCCAAACATTTGCAAATTTTAAAATACGTAATAAATAGTGCATGTGTTTTTTGCTGTTTTTAAAAAAATTGTCACTTAGTTCTCTTTACCCCATAAACGCAGTAAAATGGGACAGTCTGAAGGCAAACAGGTTCAAGGTATTATTTTTAATTTCAATAGAATGTTACGTAATAATAGCTACATTATTCAATCAGAGCAATAAATAAATTTCATGGGTACACTTTTTACAGAGATAATACTGTATATAACCTTGATCTGATATTCCGTCAGAAATCTTTATTAGCGGTGTTGGAATAACTATTTATTTAAACTGTCTCTTAACTTTATTTACTTTTTATTTACTAATTTTTATTTTTTACGCCCTTGCCAGGATAAAGGTTCTGTCGGTCCTTTGCATCCCACCCACATGCAAGCTTTTATAGAGGTTATATAGAAGAAACTGTTGAATCTAACTCAAAATTAACAAAATACATTTTATAAAACAATTAAATGACGCATACTTAAACATTGTATTAAGGTCTCGTAAACTAAACAACAGTGCTTACAAAATAACTAACAACGAAAGAAAATATTTTTGTCATGGATTTTCAAACATTGCCGTTTATTTCCCGATAGCAATGTCGTAAGAATCAAGGTGGTGGCTGGTTATACTTCATTTTCTCTCTACTTTCAAATATTGTTGTTGAATGTTCTTAACTTTACTTGTTTTTGAGATATAGGTGATGGACCTTTTTACCCGCGGACCTTTAAACCCCGTTCTACCCTATATATTGTAGATAGTTGTCGCCACGTTTGCTTTCAAATAATACCAACCCATTCAAAATAATGATGACATTAGAATAGGCATTTTGTACATTCGGCTGGGGTAAATATTCTCACGTTCTTCAAAAAATCTTCCTAAAGAAAATTCTTTCCTCTCGGTGGTAAAATATCACGTACTCCTATGAATTCTCGATTTGTGCGCCCGGCCGTCCTACGGGCAAAATAAACTGCGTTATGTCACACCATTGCGGCCGCTGAGTCATTTATTTTAAAACTGATATACGCGTACAAAGCAATTAATTTTATAAAACGTACTATGTTTTCTGTAAATTAGTATTGGTTTTTGCGTATTTTACCATGACACACGCCTAGGCTGAAATAGTTAAGCGAAAAACATTTTAATGACTCTAGTAGACTCATAATTTATTGCAACAAGGTTTTGACGATACTGATTGTTGATTTCTTCGGTCGACTTATTTTTTAATTTCCCGTAGGGTAAGTTATAGTAATCGCAAAAAATCGAAAATGAAAATTTTTCCATATCTTCAAGTTTCAGAGGTTTGTGAACATTTTGGCATACCTTACAATTAGAAAAAGTTCATGTATTTGTGTGTGTGTGTTTGTGCGTGTGTGTATGCATGTGCGGATACAATTTTTTGTCGACCATTTAGAGGAGACGGATCAACCGTGTTTGATTTGAAAAAATTAAAAAACATTACATTCCTATTGATTAGGAAACCTGCCGTTTGATATGAGGCAAAAAGTGCCAAAAATGGTACTTTAGCTTTTGAGAGAACGGAGCGTCCGATTTGAATGATTCAAAATACATTTTACTTGTTTTTTGGGAAGGTAGGTCCGGCGTTTCGGAAGATCCGATAAAAACAGGTTTTTTAACATTTTGGCATACCTTAGAAAAAATACCAAAAACCAAAAAATGCCAAAAATGGAACTTTTGTTTTCGAGAGAACAGAGCGCCGATTTGAATGACTCAAAAAGCATTTTACTCATTTTGAAGAAATGAACAACTGGTGTAATTTTTGGGAAGGCAGGTCCATCGTTTCCAGAGATCCGATAAAAAAGTAAAAAATAATTCCATTTGGCGGTCAAAAATGATCAGTAGACACATGCACATTTTATTATCAGATATTTGATAGAGATTTTAATGATAAGTACAAATATTTTGTACATTTATATGGGTTCTGTACCAATGTTTACACGTTAGACTATGACGCGGCGCTTACGCGCTTCGATGTTTCGACTTATACACAGCTATACAGCGCGATTGCTTAAAAAAAGTTCATAATTTTCAAAAAAAAAACAAAATATGTAAAAAATCAAGTTTTTCAAAAATGGCGTTTTTTTCAAAAATTTCAAAATTCTCAAAAATCTATTTTCTTTTCCAAAAAGTTGAAGTTTTTTTTAAAAAATTAGTTTTTGCTACGGAAAGTTTCAACAATTTTCCCTAGGGCGCAACACCATGCAGCACTAGTTTTTTCATTTTATTAATGAGTGTTGCCAAAATTTTGTTTCGAGTGATTTTTGTTGACATAGCTCAAATATTGTTAAATTAATCAAAAGTTATTCGATTATATTTTTTTCAACTTTCATGGACATCAGAGAATCTAGTTTTTTAATAAAACAGTTAATTAACGTTCAGAGGATCCGAGTTGCAGTATGCTTTATAGATAAAGTTTGTAATAAAATTGGCTTCGATATATGTACGTTATATAATTTTATTTTTTTTGAACTATGTCTTCTATTTTTGAATAAAATAGATTCAATGCTATAGTTTTAATTTTAAAGGAAGTTCACGAAATAATTGCTACATTATTCAATCAATGCAAAACATAAATTTTTAGGGTACATTTATTACAGAGATAGCACTCTATATAATCTTGATCTGGCATTTCGTCAGAAATGTTTATCAGCAAAGTTGGAATAACAATAATGTATTTATGTTACGTAATTATAAAATTCATTAAAACTTCGATAACTCAGGCTGTTGGGTTATAATTTAACCCTTGTAGCTGTGGACTGTATTAAACACTGATTTGTTTGTATATTATGTATTTGTTGCAGTTCTTATTACAATCACTGATTTGTCACTAAGTTATAATGAAAAAAGATATATTTATTGGATATTTATTGCATGTTGTTTTGCGGAATTTATTTTTTGAAGTGAACAATTAGTCATATCAAACTATCCGCTACCCTCTCTACTAGGGGTAGCAACCATTCCGTGCAAAAGCTCAATGCCATGAAGATATTCACCTTCATGGCCAATATAATAAAACGAAAATACGGAAAACACAAGGGAGGTGAAGAAAATCATTGATTTTGTGTACCTCTCATACCATGGACCTGCCTTCGGGTAAACTACTATTTATTATTATTATTTATATACACAAAGGAGTGTTAAAAATGTGTATTTTAAAAAATCTAGAAATGCGTATATCCATTTAACAAATTAATTCCGATCGTTTATTTTAATTTACAAAATCTCTATGAAATGACTCCGCTTGTTTTCTATAGAATATTTCCATCCGATTTAGTTTACAAACCATTTGATTAATTGTTCACAAATCGGTTTATGTTTTCAAAACAGAATCATTAAATGTTTACATACACACTACACAAAGTTATGTGAAGCATTTCGAATGTAACAAATAAATAGCTCGTTAATTAATCGCCGTGTTTTAGCAATATTTGTAAATATATTGAATCGACGACATTTTTCACACTGGTACATCATAGTTGTTTATATAATAATAAAACGATGAATAATATTTTGATGTGTTTTGAAATAGTTAGTGCTGAATGGCATTGTGCCTTAAGGCAAATTTCTGGAACCGTACAGTAATTAAATAGTCGCGAAATGAAAATAATTATGCATCAAAAAAATATAAGCAATGAGTAATAATAATAGTTTTAAATATTTTAAAGTATTATTATAAATAGTGTAAATTATTATTGTATTTATCATCGTATTTTACATATGCAATATTTGTAAGTGCTTGTATTTGAGCGACGACCTTTATCAATGTTTATACGAGTATACAAGAACGAAAAACCCCATCGATACAAGCAGTAAGCTTTTTGAATCATTCTAATCGGATGCGTCATTCTCTAAAAGACTGCTATTGCTTGCTCTTTTTACGCCGTATATCCGAAACCGCTAGACCTGCCTTCGCCAAAATGTAATTATTAAATGTAATTAAACCATTTGTCGTTGGCTTAGATATTGCAGGATATTTATTAAGACCATGAACATCATCACTGCAATCATTTTTTTTAAATATATTTATTGATTTTGCTCAACAAAGTATTAGGCAAAAAGGACTCAACTTCTACGACAATATGGAACAAATTGGCCAAATAAACCAATTTACCAAACAAACTTTAAAACTTTTTTTACCAATTAATATATACACTGTATATGAATTAGTATAAACCATTGAAGTTGTACTTGAAAAAAAAAATGGAATCGATATTATTGTCATCATTTATTTAAAATATCGGTAAAGCTAGTGTGTCTGCATGTGATACTATTTTGTTTTGAAGCAAACTGACAGATAAATTGACATGTGATGGGTATCAGAGAATAAAAATGTAGGTATCGTATTTAAAGTGATATGAGCTTTGCGAAAAATCATGAATTAAAAATGAACTAGAGATTATCAGTAAAAACCATACTATTGATTTTTGCTATATATATATATATATATATATATATATATATATATATGTAGGGTAGTGCGGGACACAAAGGTCCAATTTGATATTGTGGAAAGGAATCTAATTACATCACAACAAATACTACACATCGAACAAACAACTATCTTACTATATTGAGTAAAACTCCCAGCTATTTCATCATTGTAGAAATGTGTTTTTTGCTGTTTTTTTAATTTGTCACCTGGTCCTTTTTACCCCATAGGCGGGGTAAAAGTGGACGGTCAGGGAGAAGATAGATCCAATGTCATATTTTTAATTCTGAAGGGAATTTCAGAAATGATAACTATATTATTCAACCAATGCAAAATATAAATTTTGTGAGTACATTTTTAGAGAGATAACACTGTATATAACCTTGATCTGGTATTTCGTCACAAATATTCATAAGCAGAGTTGAAATAAGTATTTATTTAATCTATCTTTTGTAAAATTGCTTTATTTAACTCAATTTACTTTTTTTAATTACTATTTTTTATTGTTTACACCTTTTCCAGGGTGAAGGTTAAATTGGTTCTTTTTATCCAACCAACGTGTAAGCTTTTATTTAGGTTATATAAAAAACTGTCTAATTCTAACTTAAAATTAACAACACATCATATAACGCAATTAAAAAAAGTATACATATAAATTATATTAGGGT